ATTTGGTTTGTACCTACAATCATAACATTACGTACATTCTCTGTAAGCTAGGATATATACGAACACATATGGAGATGTTTACACATAGTTTTCTCGCTTTAGTCCATCCAGGTATCTATCGTGGTTTTAAAAATATAATACAATAAGTTTTATTTTGCATTGGTGTGGTAATATTTTCCAAAGCAAATGCATACAATATAATGTCGTACAAACCTCATTGCTTTAATTCCCAACGAAATAAAAACCGAAGAATTGCCTCCACGTGACATAGCAAAGAACTTTCAAATGTGAAATTAACACTACCTTATATTACGATATGATAAATTCAAGTCACGTATTGAGAACATTGGCGATCAGACATTGTTTATTAAAAATGATTTTCGTCGTTAGCTTTGTTAAAAACAAGATGAGACAAAACATTTCTACACTGAAGATGACATTGTCAATACACTAGAATTTATATTTGACAACATATAATTGACGAATTTGGAGGATGTATTTGTGAACAAAACATTCCAATAGAAACAAGTCTCTTGATTACTGATTTATTCCTTGAATCGTAATTGAATTTCTATTTCTATAGAAATTAGTTAAAACAAATCCTTTTAAGGTATATTGATGATGCACTTTCCATCAACAGTCTTAAGTGTATTGATTATATTCCTGTGATATGTTGAGTTGAACTTGGGATTAAAAGATTACTGAATATGCGTATACTGCTTCGTACATAGTTATGTGCCTTTAATTATACACTAAGGGCCAAATTTCTACCTGTCTAACCTGACCGTATGACAAGATAGATTATTTTGTTCATTATAATCAATTTTCCACTTTTTTGCAACAATATTCCACTCGCTCGTACCTATGGGGTTTACATTTCGGACATGTACTAATCTTCTATTGCAAATTGTTTTTCCAATTGTTTGTAGAGAAAGGCTATCCTTAAAATTCAAAAGTTTTAATATTTAATTTATAATGACCTTTTGGATAAATACAATAACACTGTAGACCTAGAGTTTGTACAGAACCCATTTTAATAAGCTCAGAATAATACATTGCTGGTGCCACATGCGGAGCAGGATGTGCTCACATTTTTTTCGTAGTGGTTTAACTATGTTGTATAATGTTCTTGGACTTGTAAATACGACTTATGTTCGACTATCTATGGTAATGTTATTTGTACTTTACACTACCATTCATGGATTGGACAATTTAAAATCTCAAAGCCATTTTGATTAATGAAAAGATTGTATTAATAAAAACATTTATATAGTCCCCAGGTGTCTGCTTTCTACTCTTCATAAAACTGACATAGCAGTGACCTTGAAAAAAACGAGGCCCCACTTGTCAGTTTTCGCACTTTAACTATTTAATCGGCTCAACTCTACCTCCCAAAGTTAACATCCAATAGTTGATGTCTTGGCATTTAAAATGACACGTTTTATTAGCAAAGTCTATATCGGAGCAATTTATATCTCGAACGAGTCTCATTAATGTTATTACTTTATTGACTGGCGTCATCTCGTGTTTCAACAAGAAATAACCATCCATTTAATTCTGTGAATCTTTCGTCAATGTAATATCGATTGTGTATATTCTTACCATGTCAAGCACCTGAGCCACAAAGAACTGCATCTCTACTGTGATCGTCGTGGATGTATTATAAACGGGTCGGATGTAACGATAATAGTCACGCGTCTCAAACAGCTCCATGAATAAGCGTTTGTGGTCATCTGTACAAAGCACACCTGGACAAATACAAAATATATTAATACAGTTATGATTGATTGCTTCTGGTTCCATGGATGTTTAGACATAAAGTGTTGACGATGTAAATCCATTCCCCTGTCACTCTCCCAGTGACGTCATATAGTTTTGTCTGTAGTTAGGGTGACATTGCCCTTTTATACATATACGTATTTCTACTTTTAAAGACCATATTCTCTCAACAGAATTAGTTCAATGGCCTCACTGAGTGAAGAATAGCGTGCATGAGTCAGGATGGAATACTGTTTTTGAATTTTGTTATTTGTCGTCAAAGCACTTTCTGACGTCACTGTAGTACTGATCACGCTATTCGGTCCAGTGGCAGACCCAGTAAAATGTATTTGGGGGGGGGGTCAAACTTTGCCTCAGATATACGTAGCATACTAGTAAATTGCAGAGAAGCTATGTGTAATCCAGATGATATGAATCGTCATGCGTTTATGGGGGCATGGCCCACCTGCCCCCCCCCCTCTGGATCCGCCACTGATTCTGTCTCTGCTTGTAGTTATTATGTACATGTATAGGGCATATGAAAAACACATGTTTTTATGTTTATATCTGCGTTGTTGAACATCTTACATTTTCAACATAGTTATGTCCAGCTACTTCCAAAATAACGTCCATTATTTTTTTAAAAATATCGTATTATCACTATCGAATTATCTAGGAGAGGTTAATTATTGGCATATGAGTATTGAGTATTTGTTGAACTACAGTCACTATGATATAGCGTTGCATTTCCAGTTATTACAGAGACTTTGTAGTACACGTACAAGTATAAGTGTCACGATCTATGTGTTGTAGTACAAATACAGACAATTTCCAGCAGATTTCGTTTATAGAATAATACCAATAATGTCAGTGCTGCTCTGCATCAACAAACACACAACACGATCCAGGGTCGCGGTTTTATCCCCAGGATCCATGATAAACAATCAAAGGAGCAGCAAGTAACGAACATTAATATTTCTTGATAGATAATGTTGGTAAAGGGATAACTTATCTGTCATGTGTACATATATTCAAATCATAAACTACTGAATGCGACTCATTACGATTTCAGATGTATACAAAAATAACATTTCATATCAATTTATGTATACATAATAAGAGATGGTAATTCCAATGAATCAACCTATTACCACCATCAATGCCTCATACCATGTTTGTAAATTTAAAGCGATTGTCACCATCGAACGTTGGTTCATTCATTGTACAGCGCCGACGTCGTTTGCCAGCATGATAATTTCGTACTCAGTATTTCTGCAAATGCTATACAATACATCTTGTGATCAATTTGCTGTCTCACAACTTGGGTTAGTATTCCATTAAATGACGAACTCATTTCTCTTCACATCATGCAACATGACAAATGCGTTGTCTAAACACACTTATTCCGTCGATTTCACAAGTAACTATCGCCCTCATGTAGATACCGAGCCAAAGTTAAAAGGGCAAAATGTATTAACAAATTACTGCCATATACTTCCAAAGGTTAGATTGAACACATATAAATATATGGGTGAAATAAACTCGCAACTTCTTAACTGTAAATATATTAGCCAAGTCTCAGCCATTATTTTATTTACCACTTGTACCCATCTAACACCTGGGTCACACCTGATAGACCTTTCATAACAGACATGTAATCTACTGTGATTACAATGCATTAGGTGTGAACGCCTGGTGGCCCATACATCACAGACAGGCAATGTATTGCGTGTATAATCAGGTAAGTGTAAACACCTGAGTGATATACCCCGGCCAAGTAATTGACAACGCGGATACGAAATCAACCACCGCATTGCAGCTATTGATTCATTGCATTATTTAAAAACAAGCCATGGTGTTATTTACCATAATTTCTCACTGCAAACTTTAAAATAAATGGCCCGAAAGTTTCCGTGTTTTGTGGAAAGGGTGAAGGTATTTCAACCAGTCACACCCCCACAACACACATATGTTCCGTGGTGTTTCCTACACTAATTGAATGAGTATGTACGCATGGTAGACCAGATATTGCAGACTTTGTGGATTGTCCATATAATAGAAATAAAAACACATTTAAACATAGATATGCTGTATTCAAATGGCATTCCTATCAGCCTGAGATGACAGGTACGCTTTACAATTATAATCAATAATCTGCATATTAGTACAGGGAAGTAATTCAATTTGCTTAAGAATTGTTTATTTAATTAAGTGCGTGGAAGTGTCACTGTAATTGTATAAACTCGTAATTTCATCAAGTGTATAATGACTGTTAACTAAATTTAACAATCAAAATCATACTACGCCGAGATCTTCACATATTTGTGACATTTTGCTGACTATGTTGACATTGTTGTTAATTTGTAATGGAATTTTATTTGATGCGAATATTGGTTATAGCTTTATCAACGTTCCAATACGATTACATAAACATGGTACACTATTCGTCTGTTACATCAAACATAATCACCAAAGCAATTCACCGAATTCTTAAAGTGGGATAGACTTCGTAATTTGCATATACCAAATTGTATGTTTCTATGAAATTGCAGGACAACTTTGGAGGTTAAAATGATTTTCAAACAGTTCACGCCTCAAGGGACACACAATTCTAAGATGACAACCTAAATATCTGACATTGTAATAAAGTTGACCGATTTTCAGACACAGTGATGGTGGACAACATGACCCACATCAAGGAAATAAAAGATAAAGACATTCCCAGATCCACATATCGTAGTTGTTAAATTTAAGATACAATCGGACATCCGATGCCAAAAGGATTATTCTGCGCTGACGTAAAAACATAATCCACACCCACATACACTGGACATATTACTGAGATGGACACATATCCAATTAGAATTGATTACATATATGCTATGAAATTAATTATAGTTATAAATTAATCTACAAATACTTAAATATAGATTATTCTGCACTATTAAGTATAAATGTCCTATATGTATTGTGATTTCATATATTCATATATCGCAGATATTTTTTTTATTTACACACGTAAACTCGTTATAGTAGTTTCATTGCCAATCGGACCGATCGGACATATCTTGAATTCTTTCTTCTTCCAGGGCTGGTCTTTGCCAAATTGATATTAATTAGTATCCTCGCATCTGAACTATAACACGCTTCACAGAGAAAGAAACACCGCCACGGTATGTCGCATTGACGCGTTCACATTTAATGTTTATGTTACCGACTCCATGTAGATGATTTCCAGTCAGACCTCACTAGTGGGTGAGAACATGGTGGCAATGTATTACCATCATCGATATCATTATCATTTCAGAGTTGATTTATCATCAATTACAAAGTACGGCATGTATACTGTCTGTGTTGTTCAAATGCAAGTTCATGTTAAATTTTGTGAAGGATGACAGACAGACTAGATTATTTGCACCCAAACACTCAACATAAAGCACTTACGTACGTTATATGGTAATTGTTGACAAAGCACAGACGGAAGTTAATGTGAAATATCAAGTAGCACTGAGTGGATTGGAATGCAATTCGGTAGACATATTTGGTAGATACAAACACTTTTTGGCACAAATTCATACATGTTAATCTGATAATTTATATACTAACATACTGATTTAGAACGTTTCTGATTTAAAACGTTTATTGGGCATCTTCGCAACTGATGGCATAAATGAATTGACACATGGTATATACTCACTGATCGCTGTTTGCATGTATGTGTAATGTTACTGCATATTAATTAGTTAAATTTTACCAGTTTAAGCACATATTCACAATGTGATATCATAGATGAAAACCACAATATCACGTGATATCGGTTATAAACACTAACTACACCCCCCCACTATTTGTTATTCAGATAAAGATTATATAAAGTTGAGACAGATCACACGTCACATTGTATGAGGTCAAAGGTCACACATGTGAATTCTCAACTAAAACATCTCGTAAATATCTTGCATGCTACACACCCGTTGTATAACATATACTCAACAATGATTTCTGACATCATCGTCGCTAGGGTCTATGCAACAGATCGATATTCATTGAACGTTCTCAACGAATAATGGTTGCGTATCCAACATACAACAGATAATGGCCTTTATCTAAACAGCTTACGATCTCTTGCCCCCGTAAAAAGGTGGTCATCAAATGCAGAACAACATTATTAGTTTTGATTTTTTTGCGAAAATTCTAATGAGTTCTGGAACACATATTGATAAGACCTGTCAAAACATTTCTCGGGCAATTTGTCTTAAAATTTGAGGAATCACTTATTTGAATTTGAGAAAAGTTGCGTTGCGCAGTTTGACGACTAGTTCCCACACGTACCCTTTATACGTACGAGTTTTCTGGGATGAAGGTCGACAATAAAAAAGACATTGACATTTGGTTTGTTGATATAACTATAGAATCTCTCATGAGAGGTGATGTAATAGATTCTACAATGTCACCGCCAGAGTGTATACTGAACCAAATTACATGGTGAATTCAGACGTCGCTATAGTAGTTATGTTACTTAATTAATCATTCATAGCCACAATGAGTTTCCGACATATTGCACATATTGACGACTCTCGTCTAATGGGTGTCTCTAAAAGATAACCTAACGACGGCACCACACTTTACACTCTAATAAGGAATAAATGGTGATTCAAAACACTCCCGTGCATATTTAATCGGATTCCAAATACTACAATAACACAAATGTGTCTCTATTTTTTCTTAAAGTATTATTAGTGACAATTCGAACGAAATACATCATTTCGTATTACACTAAAAACTCAATTAATTATTTCACATGATATCGTCGTCAAAAAATTAAAGTATTTGAACATACGCAAACTTATTATGTAATATTGTCATTTAAGTGTTAGGGTGAGTGGTGTGTAAAAATATTGTCATATGAGTGTTAGGGAGAGTGGTGTGTAAAATATTGTCATATATGAGTGTTAGGGAGAGTGGTGTGTAAAATATTGTCATATATGAG